CACGAAACAGCTGTTGGGCTTGTAAGTCTGTGTCCACCACAGGCAGAGGCTCAGGGCACCTCGCCAGGGCAGAGGCACCCAGTGGTGCACAGGCACTTCAAGGACATGGCACCAAGCAGAGGGCCGGCCCAGCCTCCTGGAGGGCGACGCACCACAGGCACGAGGTGCCCTAGGCCAGCTAGATGAGCACCGGCTCCACGTTAGTCATTGGCTGAATGAAGAACAAGAGCCATCAGGCCTTGAGGGACCAGCACAGCTCGTGAACCTGCAGCCCCCACTCACCCAGGGTCACCCCCAGAGGCCGTGAGTGCCCACGGCTCTGCTTGGCCCACGAGCACCTGGCCACCAGTGGAAAGGCCTGTAGCCCAGGGACACACAGTCACACAGCAACAGAACCCCGCATCCACGCTGGTCCTCGGCAGGAAAAGCAGACTGGCCTCAGGTCCGACGTGGACACCACACCCTCAGCGTCCCTTCGCGACACGGCCCCCAGCCAGCTTCTCTGTCCCAGTCCCTTCCCAAACGTCCAGCTCTGCAGAACTCGAGAATGTTCAGGCTGAACGGGCAGACGGCTAACTTTGTTGGACGCCTATTTTAGGCAGAAAAGTAGTTTTTCCATTTTGTTGCAATGAACGAGCCTGGGTGTCTCACGCACCGACCGACAGACAGACAGACAGACCTGTCCACGGGGTGGTCACGGCGCTACGCCAGCTGGGGAAGCCTGGGGTAACCGTCCACCCACGGAGGAGGTGCTTGGCCCTGGCGGGCAGTCCTCCACCTACAGGCAGGGTCCCCGCCCGCACTTGGCTTCCTCAGCGGGGACGCGGCAGTGGGCTTGGGCACACCTGATGGGACCTCCCATGCCACCTGCCCTGAGGCAGCTCCAGGGCCCCTCCCGATGCACTGATCCTCACCTGGTGCCCTTTTACAAAGGGGAAACTGAGGCACAGGGCACCCTGCCCGCCTGCCTAAAGTCACAGAGGGCTCCTAGCAGGACAGCAGTGCCACACAGTGCCAGCACTATGCCCTCCTGCACCCGAAGTCAGGCTGCCCCAGACAGGCTGTCACCTCAGCACACCGGGCCCACCGGCAGCCCACTGTGGGGACCGTAACCCGCTGGATCCCTCTGCCCACTCTGCTTCTGGGGCACTGTCTGGGTCAGGAGGCACCCAAGGCTTCAAAATTGGAAAAGAGGTGGACACAGCCAGGACACCACAGGTGGAGGAGGTGAGAGGACTGAGGGCTGGGGACATAAGGGGGTGTCACACATGGGGAATGGGGGAAAGAGACAGAGACAGGACAGAGACATGGGGGAGGGGCGCATGGGGAACAGGGGCAACAGAGGACCTTGGGGGCAGGGGACATGGGCAGCAGGGGACATGGGCTAGGGACACAGTGGCTAGGGACACGGGGGCAAGAGTCAGGCCTGGAGTGAGTCCACCATTCAGCCAGCCCCAGGGCGCCCCATGGAGATCAGCACCGAGACCCCTATCCTGCTGGGCCTCCACCTGAGGCAGCATAAAGCCACCCAGGTGCTGGGGAGTGGGACCGCACTCACCACCACCCCACAGGAGGCCGAGGGCAGCTGGAACTCCACCTGGCCACCAACTACGGTACCCAAAGTGGCACATGGCATCCTGCTCCCTGAACCTGCAGATGTGACCTCATCTGTAAAAGGCTCTTTGCAGATTAAGTTCGTAATCAAGTTCAAATCTTGGATGAGTGTCCTGCCACCCAGGTGCCCTGCACCAGCGACCACCGTGCTCATGAGCAGAGGCAGGCACACAGAGAGGGTGTGCAGCACCGTGGCCCCCCGGGCGCCGGGGGGTCTGAGGGAGCCAGCCTCGCTGCCCCTGGCTCTCCACCTGCAGGCCCAGCACGGGGCCAGTGCCCAGAGCCTCAGCAGCATCAGGCTCTGGAGGGAGGGCAGGCCTGGCCCACGACCACTGCACCTGGCTGTCCTCCCAGGAGGACGTGTCTTCATCTAATGAGACCACATGGACGGGCTGTCCTTGGGGCGCTCAGAGGTCACACTGGCCCTCCTGGGTCACAGGTGCCGCTGAGCTGACCCCCACTCATGGGGGTCCTCGGCCCACGGCCTGGCTGGGCGGTCCAGAGTGGGTGGGCAGATGGAGATGAAGCACCCTCCAGGTCCTGTCTGGAGACTCGTGGGGCTGTCCGGCCAGGGATGGAGCAGCCTGGCTGGCCGTGGTCACTTGCTGGAGGAGCTGCTCCTTGGCTCTCAACACCCTGCTTCAGTCCCCTGCCCCGGGAAGGTGCCCGTGGTGGCTCAGACCTGCAGGCCACCAAGTGTCCAGAGTGTGCCCACCGGCTAAGGGACCTGCACTCACTGCACCTGGGGTCCAGGGCTGTGGTCACTCACATCTGAGAGAAGAGACATCGTGCCACGGTCAGCTGAGGGGTCAATGCCACCCTGGACGTGGACATTTGTTCCAGGATCAAAGATCAAAACACAAGACACAAAACATTCCCACCACCAGGGAGAGCTGGACAGGGAAGCCTTAACAGGCCCGCTGTGGGAGAGCCATGCGGGGACCCATGTGACAGCAGGCACTGCCAGGCACAGAAAGGGCCCGGCCTGAGGACACGTGGCCATGCCTGTGCAGTCTCAGGCACATGGGAGCACGGCAGTGGGGCCCAAGGTGCCCACTCGTGCCACGGAGCCCCCGTGCCCCTGCCCCCTCAGCCCCCCACTGCCCAGCACATTTTGCAGCAAGTGACCTCGGACATCAGCGCCACTAAGCAACCTCTGTGCTTCAAGGAGTGACAGGAGGCCATGGGGACTCACCCATCTAGGCAGCGCACGTCACCTCACGGTCCTCACCTGCCACCAAACCAGCAGAGCCTGGATTCCTCAGGCACCACGGCCCCCGGCAGTCCGGGCCCAGAAACGCTCCCACCCCAGGGAGGGACCCTCACTGCTGGACAGCAGAGCCCAGCCTCCCAGCCACACCCTACGGCATGCCCCCTCGTGCACTGACCAGCACCAAGGAGCTGACCTGGAGGCCACCGGCACAACTCCCCCAGACTGAAGTCCGTGAGGGGACTGCGAACCAAGTGACCAGTCCAATGTTCCAAGAACCGCCACCTTGTGTGAGAGCCTGCAGTGGCACTGCCCATGAGGGCCAAAGGTGGGGTCAGCCCAGGGAAGTGTGAAACCCAGCAAGTCCACGTTGACTCAGCATAAAGAGGAAGAGCGGCAGTGGAGAGACGCAAGGGCTGAGCCTCGAGTGAGCCCAGCAGCCCAGACCGGCCCAGACCGGCCCCCCAGCACACACAAACACGAAGACCAGGGCCAGCATCATGACCTGAAGAGACAGACACAGGAAGTGCCTGTCCCCACCCACAAGGTCATGAAGTGGGCACTGGGGACAGAAGTCCTGGAAAAATCCAATTTTGTGAATGTCAGGGAACACCCTCGACAGCCCAGGAACAGGGGCAGCGGGGCAGACCCAGCACCAGTCAGCTCCCAGGGGAGCCTGGCCGGGGCACCGCCCATGCACTGGACTGGAGACCCGCACCAGCCCTCGCCCAGCTCTCCCGGAGGACTGAGGGAGGACGGGCCTGCTCCCTCTGAAACACACCGTCCCACACCTGGGCCAGAACGGGGCTCTCCATGCCCAAGCCTGGTGTGGACCTCAGGCTGGACACACGAAGCCGGACACCCCAGGGCCATGAAGGTCACCCTGCAGCTTCCCATCCAGCCAGGCAGAGGGCAGCACGGGAAGGGGTGCAGGTCAGAGACTAGCCACGCTGGCCTCCCCTGGGCCCCAGTACCCGGCTTCTGACCTCAGCGAAGGCTCCATGGAATGTTCTGACAAAGCTGGGTGGGCCCCAAAGCCTCGGAGCCAGCCCTGCCCAGCACCTCGAGGACCCACTCATGTGCCCAGTGGCATTCTCTGCATGCCATGCCAGGTCACACCCCACTTCCACTGTCGGGCATCCTGCACCCCCATGCCCAGGCCTCAGCTGCAGTACCCTGGGGCAGGCTGGCCTGGGTGCACAAGTGCCCCCGAGCTGCAGCAGACGCCCAGCCACACAGTGTGTCAGCACACCCAGAAAGTCATCCGGGTGGCAACAGACCCGCTCGATGCCCTCCTGCTGACCAGCAGCGTGAAGGCAGAGGAGCACACAGACAGGGCGGCCCTTGACATCCCTCCCGCGACACCGGCCCTGTTATACTCTTTACGTGCCCATAAAGACACCCTTTCTGGGGGCACGCCCCTCCTGAGAGATGCAGGCACCCCAGGACACATGGCCACCAGGGCCACCCTGCAGGGGACGAGGACCCGGGCACTGGAGTGCTGGCCATCTGCTCAGAGGCCTCCCTGGGCTGTGCCACAGGCTTGCACACTGCCCTGAGCCATCAGGACTCCACAGCCAGCCTCATTAGTATCCCTTGGCCCAACCCCAGCAGCCCCCCGAGTTGTCCTGCCCAAGGGAGCAAACCTGCACTCGGGCCAAATTCCTGCGGCTCCTCGACCCCACCCCCCACCCACCCCCAGTCCTTCTCCCTCACTGGCCCAGCTGCCCAGAAAGGTCTCACGGAGCAGCTGGCCCTCACCCAGCACCTTCTCAACGTGGCCTCCAGGTGCCGTCAGAAGGACACAGAGCTCCCCCCGGGAACCCCGCTCCTGGGCTGCTTCCCTCGGTCCCTCCAGCACACCCAACGTGGAGGTGAACAAGCGAAGCAGGGGGCATCCAGCCGTCTGCCTGGCTTCCCTCCTGGGGGCAGGTCAGGTGCGCCCGGGACCTTCTGCTGTGCCACCAGTGGCAGAGCCCGTCCCCTCCCTAACGCAGTGCCCACCAGACTATAGGTCTGGGAAACCGTGAGAGCACCAGGCACAGAGGAAATCCCAGGAGGCCATGATGGCTGCCCACGGACATTAGCCCTCAGTGAGGGCAGCCAGCCCCAGCCCACAACACGCCAACCAGGCTGACCCGCCCCGTGGCAGGTGGGGGACGGGCCCAGCACTCACTATCTTCTCCAGGACAGGGCATGCCAGGCTGCTCGGGGACACTCGGGAACACTGCGCAAGAAGAAAGAAAGCCGCGTTAGTTCCTGCCGCAGCTGACCACGGACACGTGCCCCTGGCTCCGAGGACTTGGAGCTGCTCCTTGGGGCAGAACCACACAACCACTGACCAGCTCTGTGGGGCCTCCAGGTCCCCAGAAAACCCAGGGGAGAAGCAGCCAGTGGCAGCTGGACAGCAAGCGGTCAGGAGAATACAGACCTGCACCAATGAATTCACACGGAACGGGAAGGGCGGCAGCAAGCCTGAAAACTGACGTCCAAGAGCACATTAGGTCTCTTCTTCCCAAGCATGGAGTTCAAATTAATAAACACCTACCTGAGCGTCGTCCACTAACGGTCAAACAGACGCTCAGAAAGCACTAGCACTCAGTTAAGGGGCAGGAGCACAGCCCAGCGGCAGAGCACCTGCCCAGTAGGCGTGAGGCCTGGGTGGGTTCAACCCCGGTCCAAAACAGACAAGAAAACTTAGGGGAACTTTTTCTTATTCTACAAAATAAAGTGAATTTTTTAGGTACCACAGCTTTAGATGTAGAGATGTATCCTTTACCATCACGACAAATAAGTGACTTAACCTGAGAACTGCACTTAGAGAAAGGGCTAGACCATCAGTCATTTCCACCGGCTGCCTGCGGGCCTGGCAGAATGACAGGATACACAGAAAACCGAGGGTGGCTTCGGGCTCTGATCCCCACTCTCAGGCTCAGGGGTCCACACCCACATCCCTGGGAAACAACTGGGCAGAGCCTGGAGTGGCCTAGGATGTGGCTGGCCGACGGGGGTGTGACATTTGTGCCCCCACAGGCACCCCTGGAACCCGAAGGAGCTGGACAGCAGGTCGAAACGCCCGACCTGAGGACAGGACTGAGATGTGACCCACGACCTGGCCTCAGCATGCCTGCGATCAAGCCCCAGCTCCCAAGAGAAAGTCCAGGCTGGGGACGGCTCGGTGGAGGGCTTGCCCGGCATGTGTGCGCAGGGAGGGCTGTGAGGCCACCCCGCTGCCGGTGCACCATGGGCCCTGCATGGCCGAGGAGCCCCGAGCCCAGGGAAAACTGGAGCCAGGAGAAGCTGGCCCAGCAGGACAGAGCAGGGAGGGTCCAAGGCCAGGACCACCCTCTGCCTGGGGAGAAGACTGCGGCTTGCTGACTACCGGGTTAATAAAGAGTCAGAGAGAAAAATCAAACCCAAACGTATTATATTTAACGTCCATCGATTCATGGCATCATAAGATTTTAAACTGCTACCTGATCCCCCAGGCGGCCTGGCAGAGATGCCCACAGATGGGGGTGGCCCCCAGGGACACTCATCTGCACAGATTTCCTGGGCAGGCGGAGAGGGCAGGGGCCAGCCATCACTCACCATGGATGACGAGCCCTTCACACTTGGGCTGACAGGCCAGGCGAAAGGCTTCCTCCAGCTCCATCTGTGAGGACACAGTGCAGGGGTCACCTACGCAGGGCAAGAGACACTGCTGAGGCCACCGCAGACAGAGGGGCCCGAGACAGCGCTGGCTCGGCACAGCACACGCAAGTCTTGCTGCCTGAGACCAGCCACCCTGGGGCCAGGTGTGCGAGACCAGCCATCCAGAGCAGTGAGCGAGCGGCCAGCCCTGGGCCTCCACATAAGAATCAGTTAGTCCCCCCAGAGAGTTCAGTTCCCTGCAGCTGAGGGGCCCTAGAAGAGCCAAGCAGCAGGCAAGACCAAGAGCCCTCTGCTAGTCTGGACAAAGACAGAGGTGCGGAACAAGCCTCGCGCGACAACATTCCCACCAAGAGCAGCTCTGCCCACGCCCTGCAGAGAAGGGGCTGCTCCTGGATGTCCCCAACACCCCTTTCTAGACAATGTGCAGGAGGGAGAGGGCGGGAACAGACGGAGGTGGACAGGGAGGAGGGAGGGGAGGCGGGGGCACTAGAGAAGACACAGTCAGACGTGGGCAAGGAGGGAGGTGGACACTGCCTACCCCTGACCTCCCCACTCTCCTGAGGAAAGCCACTTGCAGGCCAGGCCAGACACGAGAAGGTCAGGGGAGGGGTCAGGGCTGCCCACAGCCTCTCCAGCTGTTCATGACCAGGCCTCCAGTCCCTCTGTCCAGCCCTGCAGCCAATCCCACCCCAGCTGTCCCTGAAGGGGGAAAGGGGGCCCGGCAGGTTTAATTCCTTGGTGGACATCTCTGAGGCCCGCGGAGGACAGAGGCCCACCTTCGCTGTCCACCCACTTGAGGGTGAGCGGGTACTCCTGGCGCAGCCGGCACATGTCCCGCACCTCCTCTCGGAGCTCATCGAAGGTCGTGGCCGCGTCCACACTGGTGATCAGGATGTCCCTGGGCAAGAGCACACGGGTCATCACCATGGTCACATTTGATAAAAATACTGCCTATTAAACAAACTGCTGGCTACAGATGGACTGAGACTTTCCCCAAAGACAGCACCAGCGTCCCTCTACAAACGCACAAAACACAACCACTGACCAGCTCTCTAAAATTCCCCAGGAACACGGCCCCACCCCTGAGGACGGAGCGAGGGCAGACGCCCCCAGGTGGAGGCAGGGCAGAGGCACCAGATGCCAACGCTGCCACAGGGGACCCAGGGGTGGACACAAATGGTCAGCTAAGCCCTGTGGTGTTGCCACAGGAAAAGAACCCAGTCAAACCTCCCCCTGGACCTCCCAGGTGCAGACCACGGCATCCCTGGAGGTAAGAGCTTGCAGGAAGTGGAAAAATCAAATACTCTGTCAAGTGGCTTTCCCAGCCAGGAGGGGGCTGGACCAACCTGCTGCACTGTGGCCTCCTGCTACTTCCAGGCACTTTTTTGGAAAACCATGTCATTGCCTTTTATCTTTTCTTCCTAAATGGGATGTAAACCTGAACAGGGATCCTGGGTGCCCGTCCCTGGTTCCGGGGAAACCAACCTGACACTCCCCAGGAGCAAGTGGGACATGGCTTCCGTCCTCCTGCCAGGGAGAAGTCCCGCTCCGGGCGGCTCTCAGCAGGACCTTTGCCAAGCTCACTGAAGTTGTGGGGAGATCTCCCCGTATGAGCCCAGGGTGGGCAAAACCCGAGAATCTCAGAGTCCCAAGCAACAGCCATGGCCCTGGCCTCCCACCAGGCCATCTGAACTCCGTCCAACAAAGTCAGAGCCACCGGGACGGAGGACCTGAGCCACAGCCCACAGTCCCCCAGCCCAGCAGCCCAGGGTCTCTGGCCGAGAGCCTCACCTGACCCATGCCACACCCCAGGGGAGGGGAAATGCCCCAGTTGCCTGCCTGGAGCTCTTGAACTGGCCACCCCACACTGTCCCCAGCGCCCCATGTTCTCCACAGGGACTGACCCAGCTTGTCTTTCCTGCAGCCTGCAGCATCACGGCAGACAAGGAAAGTAGGGCACGGACGCACCCCTAACCAACTGGGGGGGGCTCTGGAGTCCAAGCTCCCCCCACCTGTCACCCACACTGCAGGCACTCTGGTGGCCTGGCCAGCATTACTAGTCCTGCAGCCAAGAATTCAAGATTCTTGAGGGTCCACCACCTCTCGACCTTTGACCCCTTCCTGCTACCAAGAGGAAGCTACTCTCTTTCCCAAGAAGGCAGGAGGCCGCTCCTGTAAACCCCAGGGCTTCAGCACTGCCTGGCAGGAGGCTGGCCACTGCTGGGTCCTGTCCCAATCCTGGGAGAAGCAGTGCCTCTGAACCCTTTAGGACACAGCCCTGGGCAGGGGGAGTCATCAGCAGCCTGGCTGACCAACTCCCTGGACCCTGCACCTGAACAGAAAGGTCTGGATCAACAGCCTGTGCAGAAGAGGAAGGCCAGCTACCTGGCTCACTGTGGCTTCCTGAAAATATGGGTGCTGTACAACCCTGGCAGACTCCTGGATGACCACTGGGGTGGGACTTGAGACCCCATCTTGGGCCTCAGAGGGGTTGGGACAGGTAGGGGGACTAATGGCCATCACATCATTCTCAGCTAAGAATAGGTTTCAGTGTGTAGGATCCTCATCTGTGGCCCGGTGGCCTCCCAAGGGGCAGGGTCTCACCCCAGGCCCCCAGCACACCTTCTGTCCTGGACAAAGTTTTACCCAGACCCAGGTCTTTCCAAAGCTGAGGGCTAACCTAGGCAGCCACTGCTTCAGTGTCCAACCTTGAAGAGGTGCTCCGCAGAGGCACTCAGGAGCCAAGGGGGAGGCAGGGGGAGTGGGTGGGAGGACCCTCTTCATGGAGATGAGACACAGAAAGGGGGAGGCAGAAGGAGAAAGGGATGTGGAGGACATGAAGGAAGGGGTAAAGGACAGAGGGAGGGTGCAGGGAGAGGAGCACGGGGAGGGAGGGGGAGATGGAGGAAGGAGAGGGTGCAAGGAGAGGAGGAGAGGGGGAGGGAGGGGGAGATGGAGGGGAGGGTGGAGGAAGGAGAGAGTGCAGGGAGAGGAGCACGGGGAGGGAGGGGGAGATGGAGGAAGGAGAGGGTGCAAGGAGAGGAGGAGAGGGGGAGGGAGGGGGAGATGGAAGGGAGGGTGGAGGAAGGAGAGAGTGCAGGGAGAGGAGCACGGGGAGGGAGGGGGAGATGGAGGGGAGGGTGGATGAAGGAGAGGGTGCAAGGAGAGGAGCAGGGGGAGGGAGGGGGAGATGGAGGGGAGGGAGGGGGAGATGGAGGGGAGGGTGGATGAAGGAGAGGGTGCAGGGAGAGGAGCACGGGGAGGGAGGGGGAGATGGAGGGGAGGGTGGATGAAGGAGAGGGTGCAGGGAGAGGAGCAGGGGGAGGGAGGGGGAGATGGAGGGGAGGGTGGATGAAGGAGAGGGTGCAGGGAGAGGAGCAGGGGGAGGGAGGGGGAGATGGAGGGGAGGGTGGAGGAAGGAGGGAGGGTGCAGGGAGAGGAGCAGGGGGAGGGAGGGGAGATGGAGGGGAGGGTGGATGAAGGAGAGGGTGCAGGGAGAGGAGCAGGGGGAGGGAGGAGGAGATGGAGGGGAGGGAGGGGGAGATGGAGGGGAGGGTGGATGAAGGAGAGGGTGCAGGGAGAGGAGCAGGGGGAGGGAGGGGGGGAGGGAGGGGGGGGTGGATGAAGGAGAGGGTGCAGGGAGAGGAGCAGGGGGAGGGAGGGGGAGATGGAGGGGAGGGTGGATGAAGGAGAGGGTGCAGGGAGAGGAGCAGGGGGAGGGAGGGGGAGATGGAGGGGAGGGTGGATGAAGGAGAGGGTGCAGGGAGAGAAGCAGGGGGAGGGAGGGGGAGATGGAGGGGAGGGTGGAGGAAGGAGGGAGGGGGCAGGGAGAGGAGCAGGGGGAGGGAGGGGAGATGGAGGGGAGGGTGGATGAAGGAGAGGGTGCAGGGAGAGGAGCACGGGGAGGGAGGGGGAGATGGAGGGGAGGGTGGAGGAAGGAGGGAGGGTGCAGGGAGAGGAGCAGGGGGAGGGAGGGGGAGATGGAGGGGAGGGAGGGGGAGATGGAGGGGAGGGTGGATGAAGGAGAGGGTGCAGGGAGAGGAGCACGGGGAGGGAGGGGGAGATGGAGGGGAGGGAGGGGGAGATGGAGGGGAGGGAGGGGGAGATGGAGGGGAGGGTGGAAGAAGGAGAGGGTGCAGGGAGAGGAGCACGGGGAGGGAGGGGGAGATGGAGGGGAGGGTGGAGGAAGGAGAGAGTGCAGGGAGAGGAGCAGGGGGAGGGAGGGGGAGATGGAGGGGAGGGAGGGGGAGATGGAGGGGAGGGAGGGGGAGATGGAGGGGAGGGTGGAGGAAGGAGAGGGTGCAGGGAGAGGAGCACGGGGAGGGAGGGGGAGATGGAGGGGAGGGTGGAGGAAGGAGGGAGGGTGCAGGGAGGGGGAGATGGAGGGGAGGGTGGAGGAAGGAGGGAGGGTGCAGGGAGGGGGAGGGAGGGGGAGGGTGGAGGAAGGAGGGAGGGGGAGGGAGGGGGAGATGGAAGGGAGGGTGGAGGAAGGAGAGGGTGCAGGGAGAGGAGCAGGGGGAGGTAGGGGGAGATGGAGGGGAGGGTGGAGGAAGGAGGGAGGGTGCAGGGAGGGGGAGATGGAGGGGAGGGTGGAGGAAGGAGAGAGTGCAAGGAGAGGAGCACAGGGAGGTGGAAGAAAGGGGAGGAAGAAAAAAGAGGAACAAGAAGAGGACAGAGGCGGGAGAGAAGTAGGGAAAAGAGGAGGGCAGGGGGTTCCACCTAATCAGTCCTGGAAACCAGAGTCAATAGGTCGAGTTACTCTGCAGTGTAACCAAAGTGCTCCCCAGGGGCAGGAGCAAGGGGAGGAGGCGGACTGGGCAGTATGGCCCAGGACTGGGGGCGGGCACTGCCAGCAAGGTCCCCAGGTACACCAGGAGGTGATGGCTGAGCCGCACTGGGGCAATGCTGGAGGGTGTGGTGCCCACCCACCCTGAAGCCCAGGGTACAGATCTTAGGACCAGCCCCAGCTTAGTGGGTGGTTCCAGGAAGGGAAAACAAGTCTCCTGGTAGTTAACAGGTGTTCCACTCAGAATGGCTGGTCAGGACGCTCTGGGGTCTGAAGACACCACACCAGTTTCCACTCTCCCCTTTCCAGGCCGGAGACAGAACTGACCTCCACCCTTTCAGGTGGCGCTGGCAGGTCAGGTCACCAGAAATCCCTCTTCCTTCCGGCTCACCTCCCCACCCCCACCCCCACCCAGGTGCATATCAAAGGGAGAGGCACTAGGCTGGAGGGGCCCCAAGGGTCCCAGGGAGAGACAACCAAGTTTCCACCACGGGAGACCCAGGGGTCAAGTAGCCCTTGAAGCCCAACCTCCTCAGAGTCAGAGGGCACTGCCCAGGAGGGGGACACCACCTGGGATCACAATATCCCACCACCTTTGTCCACTCCTCCCAAGGATGGTCCAGGAGAGGAACGCTTTGCAGGACCCCAAGGAATTTGAGAGTCCAGTTCACTGTGCTCCCCTCCCAGCAGTGGGGACCGTCTAATCTTGGGCGCCCACCATCTCAACTGGGGTTCCAGGAAACACAACAGCACCAGCAGAACGAAGAAGCCAAGGAGCCGGTGCTCCCCACCCACTGTCTACACGGGGCGGTGACCGTGGGATCCCCCCACCAGAACCAGCCCCGCCTTCCCCTGGCCCCGGGGCTCCCCAGCCCGACCGGGGAGGTGTGCTGGCCGCATTTCACAGCTAGATCGGCGGACTACAGGGCGCGGTGAGCGGACCAACTCCAAAGCCCCCTTCCAGTACACTGAGGGGTCTTCACCCAGTCCCCAGTGCAAGTGCCACCAGACCTGCCAAGGACCCTTTTCCCACGACTACGGTGGCTCAAGGCCATGGCCTTCACCTCAGTCACGGGCTTTCCTTAAACTGAGACGTCTTAAACCAGGGACTAGTTTACAGTTTTCAGTTTGACAAAAACTTTTGAGTCCTTACGGGTTGGTGGCCTGACGTACTTTCCAGTGAAAATGTCAACAACTGTGACCAGGGCGGAGGAGCGCGCAGCAACGCCCGCCGCCCGCGTCGCGGGGTCCCGTGCGGCAGGTGCCAGTCCCGGGAAACCCAGACGCGGGGGGGGGGGGGACGGCCTGCAGGGAGACGCGCCCCCCCCCAGAGCCGGGCAGGCCTGCCCCACCCCGCCCTGCCCGGCGGGTTTCCCGCGGGAGACGTTCAAGGGCGTCCGGACCGCGGGATCGCCTGGAGACACCGCCTGCAGTGTCTGGACCTCCCGGGACGCCCCGGGACCCCAAGGGCCGCGCCCCTCCCTCCCTCCCGCGCCGCCGCCCGCAGTGGCGTCGACCAGGCCTCCCGAAGGCCGCGGTCCAGCCGCTCGTGCGCCCGACCGTCGGGTGCCGCGCGCTCACCCGCCGTAGTGCACCTTCAGGCGGACGCGGACGCCGCTCCCGTCCATCTTGGGGCTGGACCTGCTGGGCATGGCGCGCTCCGCCGGCCGCCGTCAGCGCCGCGCCCCGGACACTCGGGCCATAGCCTGGGGCGCCTGCCGGGGACAGGGGCGCCAGGTGGGGCGGACGGCGGAACGCGGAAGGGGAGAGCGCGGCAGGGACCGACGGCGCGGCCCCGCCAACTCCGCGGAACTTGGGCGGCGGGCGGGGCGGGTGGGCGCGGCCGGCGGGTACGCGCAGGGGCAAGGGGCGCGCACGGAGCCCGGCGTCCGGCGGGAGGCGGTGTCCGAACTTCGCCGACTGGGCCAGGAGAAGGCCAATCCGCCGGGCGGGCGGTCCTGGGGCGGGGGCCGCGGCACCTGCGACCAATGAGGGCGAGGCGGTGCCGCCACCTGGGCCAATCCTCGGGGGACCGCGCGGCCGCGGCCCAATGGCGCGCGCGGGGCGGACTACCTGTCGGGCGGGGCGCGGCCACCTGCGGCCAATGGGAGCGCGCGCCGCGCGGCTCTGCCCGGCAACCGGCGGCGATGCGGACCTCTCCCGGGCTCGGGGACCACCCGCGGCCCCCGACGGCTCTCGGAGCCGGCCAGGGTGGGGGCCTCAGGGCCAGGGTGGGCCTCGCAAACTTGGACGTTTACGTTCTCGGCTTCCTCCCAGCCTAGGCAGTGAGTGCAAACTCGAGCCGTCCGCGCTAACGAGCCCGGGCGACTGCGGCGAGCGCGGGTCAGCGGCGCGGGTCTGGGGTCGCGAGTGGCTCAGGAGCGCGGCCCGAGGGAGCTCCGCCTGCCGTCGTCAGGCGCGGTCCGCAGTTCAGACCCAGGATCCGTAAGGCCGCGGGGAGGACTCCCAAGACCCCAACCCCGTGCTTCCCCTTCGGAATCTAAGCTCCCAGGCAGGAAAGAGTTATCTACACTCGCTGCCTCTGCTCCAGTTCACTTCTCGACCTGGGCAAATCCTGGACAATTGGAAGGACTTCTCGGTCGTCGTTTTCACCTCACAGGTTCTCCTGGTGCCTGCTTGGTGCCAGGCACTGGGGTGACCCTAGAGGACTGCACGGATAGCCCCTAGGGTCCTAGCACTTCCTGGAGATGAGCGACGTGCAGACACCTATGTGCTTACTTGGGGTGAGCTAAGATCTTCCTGCCTATCCTGGTAAACTCTCGACAACTGCCACCTGCCCACTTCTCTGTCCCTCTGTACAGACCTGCCTGGCGCCCCACACTCGGTTTTCCCACCTAAGATACCCCTCAGATCTCTCACACAAGCCCCCCCTTCCCCGACACCACTGACTCCCACACTTTATTTTTTTAATTTATTTTGATTATTTTTGCAGAAGTGGGATTGAACCCAGGGAGCTCTACCACCGCGCTGCATCCCCAGCCCTTCATATTTTTTTCTTTTGAGGCAGGGTCTCACTGGCAGCAGTAGCTGGGAACACAGGCATGCTGGGAGTCTAGGTGGGTGTCCCCCTGCACATCTTAAATACAGCTGTCCTCCTCAAGAGTCTGGCTTCATCTGATCTCTGACTTTGGAGGCCTCCATCCGTCCTTCCCCTAGTCACACACCCTTTCACTGGGAGCCCCTGGCCTCAGCCATGCCTCTCACACACTACATGCTCCCAAGAGCTCCCTCAGCTGCCTGTCCGCACCTCCGTCAGTGCCAGCTCCCTCCTGAAGTTCGAGGGTTCACCTCAAGACCTTGGGGTCTCCTTTGGCCCTCCCTCCTTCCACCTGCAAATCCACGCCACTCCACCTTGCACACCTGCCAGAACCTAGCCACCCACCACCACAGGCTCGGTGCTGGGACTGTTTCCTGTGCTGCCTTACCACATAAGCCACTCCCTGGTGCCCTGTGTCCAAAAGCCCCCACGGTCCCCATTGTTCTTGGATGACAGCCAAGTCCTCAGCATGGTCTACAGGTCCTCCCGGACTTGGGGCCACAGAATCCTCTCTGCCTTCATTTCCCCCTCGCTCATCCTGGCTTACCCCGCCACCTGGCCTCCTTGCTGGCTCTGGCCCAGGACCTTGCAGTGCAGCCCCCACTCCCAGGAGCACCTTCCCAAATATCTGCCAGACTCTTTGAGTCTGTGCCTGACATACCCAATGGCCATAGGAGCAGTCTGTTCCCCTGCCTGGCAGGATGGGGCAGTGATGGGCAGCAATCAGCACCCAGGAGGAAGGGGGCCTGCTGGCAGAACCACCCCCTCCCCCTGGACCAGGCCATTGCCAGGGCTGTGGCCTTGGCCCCCGGGCCACCCAGAGCCCCCTCTGGCCATCCAGAGCCCCCTCTGGCACTAGGCCTTGATCCCTTCCTGAGGGGCCAGAAGAGAGAAGGACCCTAGGACTTCCCCATGGCTGTGTGATTGAAGGAGACGTCAAGGTCCCAGCCCTGATGCTCCTGCCCTCTGCAGGCAGGTGGGTCAGCCAGTGTTTCTTTCTGTCCACTGGACACCATTACTCAGACATGCCCACCCAACACCCCGATGGTCACCCTGGCCCATGTCCAGCCCTGGAGCTCTTGATAGTCAGAGCAGCCCTTCCTGGGTGAGGGGTCAAGGGGGCCTGCTGGGAAGCTAGTTTCCAGGGTCACTGCTGGCCCCCCAGTCCAGGAGGGAACAAGGGAGGGGCTGCTGGCAGCCCTTTGGAGAGTGAAGCCTCAGTTTTCTATGGGGCTCTGAGGAGAGGGCACCTAATCCAGGAGGAGGCCTCGGTGGGGTCCCATCCTGTCTTGGACCACGTCCAGCCCTGGAGTGGGGGGGGGGGGGTCCTGTGCAGCTTTGCAGAGGCTCCAGCAGAGGGCTATCAGGAAAGCCTGCCAGGCCTCCCTCCCAAGCCTCCACCCACCCGGCCCATCCTTCCTCTCCTGCAGGGTGGAGGCCTCCCATCTGCATTCTTCCCGCTGAGGAGACCAGCAAAACAGGCCTCCGCCCTGGCTCTGGGGCCGCCTGGAGGAAGAGGGACCATGGCTTCCGGGATTCCAACAGCCCCCCAGCCTGGAGACCCTCGGGGCTTCGGGTGCTGAGGGACAGGCAGGCAAGCTCACAGGACACGGTCACCAGGGTCACCATGTTGCTTGGCAACAGGCACAGTGTTTGTTCCCAAATTTAACACTCCCCTGTCAGGCTGGGACCCTGTGTGTCCACCTGGCCTCTCTGGTGGCAGCTGGCTCGCGGTGGAGGGTGTGAGTGAACAGGTTAGTGTCCCTAGGGACTGCTGGAGCCAGCCTCTAGGGCCTCAGGCTCTGTCCCCACAAGGGAGGGCAGGGCCACCACCAGCTCCACCCGTCACGCCCGGCCACCCAGGAGGCAGTCTGGCTTAAGAGGTTTCAAGGACTCTGTAGGGGCCTCCCAGGACAGGTGGGGCATGGAGGTGACCCTTGGAACCTGCCAGGCGGGGCAGAACCCGGTGAAGAAGTGACCTTTGGAGCAGAGAAGAGCCCTGGAGGGGCATCCTTTCCTCAGTCTTCAGGTTTCACACTCCCCCAGGTGTTGGGAGGGGTCTCAGCAGGTGACCTGTGGTGGGCAGAGGGCAGAGGACTGGCTCTCCAGTGGCACGAGGCTTACCCTCCGGCTCCCTCTGGTAAATGCCCGCAGACCCCCACCTGTGGGCACAGTACCCTTCCACGCAGGGGACGCCAGCCTGAGGTCTCCTGGTCTGTCCTGGGGCAGCCTCCTCAGACCCTGGCCCTTCCTGCTCTGCTCGCTGAGGGTCTCTGCTCTGCCCGAGTCCCGGCCCCAGCCGGCCCCTCCAGGCAGAGAGCTCGCCCTGCGCCTATGCTGGCTCAGGCTGGGATCCCGGGTCCTCTGCCAGGTGCCAGTCTGACCCCCCTGGCCACAGGAAGGGCCGGAAGATCTGCTGACAGTGCTGGGCGCTCACAGCTGACGGAGGGGCCGGGTAGCAGATGTTTCCTTTCTGTGTCACACATCATGGGATTTGGAGACGCTGGTTCCAGTGACAACACCCGCCTCGTCCCTCACTCATGCGGTGTTGAGGGCCTGCGAGGGGCCAGCAGTGGCTCCAGGGGGCAGTGTGGCTAGGTGTACCCACGAGGCCCCTGCCAACGTACCACACAGAGCTGCAACATGGCAGCTCCGCCAGGGCCAGGAGACCCGTCCTGGAAAAGAGGCTGCTTCTGGGACTTGAGATGTGTGCCCGAGAGCCCTGTGGCAGGGGAGTCCTTCTGAGGGGGCCCACAGTGCACGCGGGCCTCAAGCACCTGTGGGGCTGCAGACGCCTGCACTCCCTCTGTCTGTGGGGCTCCATGTGCTTTTCCTCTGGGCACCACTTTGGCTTTCTGCCCGTGATTGGACACATGTGTCCCCTTCAATCCAGGCTCCGGGCCAGTGCTGCTGACCTTGGAGGGGCTGGCGTCCACCTCTTGGTGCTGGAGGCCAGGAGCCTCCCTTTTTCTCAGCGAGTGCAGTACCAGGCTTCCCCAGGAGGGGGCACAGGAGGGATGCTGCTTCTCCACAGTGGTCCCTGGGGCCTGGATCCTCCGCCCAGCTGCTGGTCTGAGTCACAGGGGTGCTTTGTCTCTGTCCCCCTCTGACTGACACTGCACAGCCCTGCCTGCCTGGCCCCCAGCACAGGTGTGTGGGCTCTGGTCTCCTGCTCCCAATTCCCCCATCCCGTCTTTGGGCTGCTTCCGGCCCCAGCCTGGACAGCAGCCCACAGACCCCCACCTGTGGGCACAGTACCCCTTCCACGCAGGGGACGCCAGCCTGAGGTCTCCTGGTCTGTCCTGGGCAGCCTCCTCAGACCCTGGCCCTTCCTGCTCTGCTCGCTGGCTGCAGGGCTTCTGGTTGTCCTTTTGCTGAGTGTCTGCGAATTGAACCTGGACCCTGGATCTGAGGGCCTTCCTGTGTGCGTGTCCTCACTCTGTCCCTGTGTGCTGGACTCTCCGTGTGACTGCACTGTCCGCCCGCCCTCTCGTGTGGTCAGCCTGGAGCTGCACCCAGCAGAGGCAGGAGAGCCAGGAAAGGCTTGGTCTGCCCCACCCATGGGTTCGAGAGGGGGTGGCTGACAGGGTCAGTGGGGCTGGGGTGCCACGAACAGCTGGCAGGAAGGGCGGTCTCTTCCCCCTCCGTCCCCACGTGGGCTGTGACCGCCCTTCTTCCTGAGGGTGTGGAAGTCCTGGCCCCGTCCTCTTGATGACACTGAGGGCCAGCAAGGCTTTCCGCAGGCTGGGCCGTGACGTCCCTGCCAGGGCACATCTGCACTCTGCTCTCCGGGTGCCAGCCTGTGAGGCGAGAGCACGGGACGGACGCTGGGCTCCCGGGCTCCAGATAGGTGAGGCCAGGAAGTGGCCCTGAGGTTATTGAGGAGCCTGCAGAGCCGCGTTGCCATGGCAATGCTGGCGACCTCTCCCGGCTTCTCCTGGTGCTTCAGCCCCAAGAAGAGTGAGGCCAAGATGGCGGGAGATACAGCGCGGGATGCGGTGGGGAAGGCCTCCAGCTCCCTGTGTCCGGGCGCTGTTCACAAACTGCCCAAAGGTCAGGCTGCTGGGTGGCATCCTCAGGTCCTGGCTGGGCTGGGCTGTGGGGGAAGGCCCCCCTACCGCCCACCTGGGACTGTCCTCCAGGGAGCAGCCACAGGAGGCCTGGAGCCTCACCCCAGCCTGACAGGGTCCCCTCTGGGGACCACGCCAAGAAAAGACCTGGAAACACAGACAGCTCTTGTGGCACCAGACTTCGTCAGCAAGCTGCTGTGTGTCCAGGGTGGGAGGCCGCTGTGGACGGCAGCACATGGGCACACACACCCTGGAACGCACTTGAGCCAGGAGGAAGCCCCTCCACCAGGACAGAAGGAGGCCACTGGCCCCAGCGAGGGACAGCAGGAGGCTCTCAACCCCACGGCCTTGCTGGCTGGCTGTTCAGGCATCCCCCTCCTTAGAAAGCATCCCATCTTCCTCTTGAGAGAAGATCCCCAAACTTCATCCTGTGACCACTGCTGACCCTTCCCCTGTCAAGCCCCCTTCAGGACGGGACCTCATTCAGTCTTCACTCCGCCTCAGAGAACATGTACCCTCACTGCAGGGTGAGGTGCTGCAGCTCTGAGACACAGCCACCTTCTCCGGGTCCACTGTGGGCGTGTGGGGCATGTGCCTCAATGCACCGGTCCACGAGAGCTGTGTCATCGGGGTGACCTGAAGTAACCCATGTAAGTCTGGGCTTCCAGGAGATGTCACCCAACCCTGCCCCAGCACCTCCTAGAAGTGGGGAGTCCTTGATGGCCAGGGAAATGGGGCTGTGGGGCCAGCCCAGGCTGAAGACTCAAAGCTGGGGCCAGCCCACCCAGCCAAGCCGGCTGGCCAGAACCTGTGCCTTGGGCTGTCCAGGAAGGACCATGCTGAGTGAGAGGATACCTTGAGTGGCCAAAAGCCTTGCTGAAATGGCACAGGCAAGTGGGATCTTCTCGGGAGGCTTCTGCCGACCTGGGTGGGCAGTCGGCTACCCTGGACCCCCTCCCCCCACCTGCCCAGGAGTCCTTCCCCAGCCTTCCTGG